TGTATTTCCCCAACAATTGTATTAGAATCTGATGCAGGATATTACCTGAATATAACTGTAGGATATGTAATGGTTTTTTTTTTTTTCTGTTGGATGTAGATAACAATAAGAAAAAAAGTAAAAAAACCAAATTGAAAAGGGGCCACAGAGTAGAACCTGTTAATACAGAGGAATCTCTTCCCAAGAATCCTACACCACCAGCAGCCCTTCCACCAGGTAAGTGTAAAAACAGTAATTGATGTCTCAATTTGTGGTTGGTAATCCTTTAAAAGTCTCACTAGTGAATGATGAAACTGGGCTGGTTTTCATACAGAGAGGAGCTACTAAACCTTCCTCTCTAGAAAATCTTTAATGCAGTTTCCCACTTCATGATATGAACTTCCAGCAGTATTAATTGGGCCTATTACATGGGGAAAACATAATTTTCCCAAAAAAAGAGCCAGAAACTTGATTACTCATTGAAGTGATTCAAAATATTAATACTTTTAAGGTTAATCAGTTTATTTTTGAAGTATTTCATCGTTCTTCACCATGGATACAATGTAGTGCATAGCTTGGGCATTTCTAAATGCTTTGATTCCTCCCAAGGAGATGTGGGGTCTGTGCAGCTCAGAATAATCCAGTGCAGTCGTGGAATGCTCTGACAGTTTTTGTTTTCCTGTAGTTGGATGGGGAACTCCCAAACTTAATAGACTTGGAAAACTTGAGCCTCTTGGTGAAACACATCATCCTGGTAATTGAAAGTGTTTGGAGCTTTGTACCTTTTAAAACCATTCTCCATTGTCCCTTCACTTCTGCATTCACTTCATTCTTTGTCTGTTTTTCATTTCTAAATTCCAATTTTCATTGACCAAAAGCTTTCCCTTTTGCTTAGTAGAAAGCATCTTTTTGATTTTTTTCAAGTCTGATTTTTTTATTAGGAAAAACAATGACTTCTCTCCAATTTCCTCATGAAGTTTAAAGTGGCATGGGATATCAGAAGTTGTTAATGATCTGAAGTTATTTGCACCTAAAAATTAGAAAGTGACATTTTGCAAAGAGTAATGGGGCCAGTTACTTGAGTCCAAATTCATACTGCTTTTAAAATGAAAAAATTTAACTGGAAATATCAAGAGGCAGTAGGCAGTCTTGATTTCTTGCTTCAATAATGACTTATTTTCTATTTTTGGAAGATTGTGGAAGACTTTTTCATGTGTTGACATTACATTTTTTTCCTGAGTTTGAGATGGTAGCTTCTTCATTTTTCTTACATTTTTATTTTTCAAATTATGAAAAGTGAATTTGGAGACATCTGGAGCACAAGAACAAGGAGCTTTTCTGCCAGGGAACCAAAAGATGCCTGAAGGGGAAATAAGATTTCTAAACCCAAAATATTTATTTCTCACGGGAAGGAAATTCATGTGCTTAAAATGTGATTTGTAATGTTGATCCTAAACACATCTTGCTCTTTTTTTTTTTAAAGGCAAATAGAGAGAAGGTGACAAGAAAGGAAAGCCAGATGAAGAGGTAGGGAGGGGAAGAAAAGGAACTCAATTTTTATCTGTGCCTAATGGAGGTGTTGCATTCTGTAGGAAGAGTATGGGTGGAACAAAGAGGGAAAAACCTGCTTAAGCTAGGTGCTAAATTGTAAAAGAATTACTAAATAATTTTGGAAGCTGAAAATGGCAAATATGTTGGTAGGGAAATTATCTCTTGACCAGAGGTGTAAGAGCAAACTTGAAGTACTCAGAATTTATAGCTGAATTTAAGGCATTGTCTGCTCTTTGGGAGATTTATCTTTTTTTCCAGGAATTTTGGACCACTCACAAGATTCACACTTGCCAATCCTAGCAAGAAAATTGAAATTAGGAAAGCACTATTTATAAATGAAGAAAGTTCTTCACATTCATAGCCCACCACTGTCAAACCTTTAGTTAGGTCCTGATTTCCAAAAACACCATTTATTTATTTATTTTACTTAAAGCAGCTGTGGGGTTTTAACTCTGTCAATTTGAGATCCACAGAATCAGAGAATTACTGGGATTGGGAAGAACCCTTAAGATCCTTGAGTTCCACTGTTACCCCAGCACTGCCAAGTCCATCTTGCACTGATTTAATTTCCCCCCTGGCCCTGCCCATTTTCTCTCACACAACAATGTTTTTCAATGAATTCTTACATACTTTGCACACTCAGAACCTGCTCCTCACTGGAAACTCAGAGTTTCCCTAAGACCAGTGGAGCCTGCCTTGGGTTCTTTTTTTACAATAATTGCATCTTTCTGAACATCAGCTTATTTTTGGTTGTCCCTTCAGCAGAGAAATTAATCAGTGTTGGTTTTTTTTTTCCTTCCCTCACCTTTGCCCAAAATTCAGAGGTGGGTTCAAAAATTTTTTCAGACATTCGAACTTTGTAATTACACACTTACATTCACTGAAGACTGCAATTTTTCCAGTCATGCTAATAATTTTGGCACAACATGAGGTGATGAGTGCCTGTTTATTGTCAGTGAGGAGGATACATTTACAAAAACATTAAACTTCTTTCATAATAGGAGGCAAAATTCTCTGCCAGTCCTAAAGTGCTCTGCCAGACTCAAAAAATGCATGAATAAAAATCCAATGGACAGATTTTCACTGATCTTGGAATCATGTGTTGCAGTTTTCTTGCTGCTGTAATTAGTGCTATTGAAATCAAAATATTTATGACAATAACATAAAAGTGTTCTCATTTTGCTAACTAAATGCAAAGTTAATTAAAACCTCAGTCCTACAGACAGGTCCACGTATTCTTCAAGCAGGGTAGCCCAGTTTGTTTGCTTTTGTTAATCTTAGCTCAGGAATGCAATTTTAACAGAGGTTATTGCATCTGTAGGACAAGTGGGATCTGTTCTTCTTGGAAAATGATGATTTATTAAAGCTGAATTTTGTGTTGGCAGGCCATCAAGGCTTTCTTGGGGAAGAGGTGGTCTGTATAATCAGAACTGAGATTTGAATGCTTCAAAAAGCTGCTTTTCTTTTTTCTTGCTTTCTACCTTCTTCCTCTTACCATATTCCATATTTTTTTGTTTGTGCAGTGCTTTGCATGTTCCAGTCTGCATGGGTTTTTTATTTTATATCCATTACAAATGTTTGAGAACATGTGTTACTCTCTTCTGATGTACTTATAAACTTTGTCTTGTACAATTTTGCCATTTTAAATTCTTTTATTGACAGAAGGAAATGCTGCAGTTTTATCTAAAAATTCTGAAATAGTTGTTTTAGAAAATTATTTTAGCTTGGAAGATAAATGCCATGCATAAATGGTCCCAAAATTTTGGATTCTGCTCAGTATTACTGTAATTTAAAACAATATTGCAGTGCAGTCTTGAACACAAAAACATACAAATTTCAGTGTTTCATTTTTTCAGTTGTTATTGTACACTTTGAATTTCTCCTTTCCTATTTTTAGGGATGTTTACAGATCCCCTTTGGGCTTCATCTTGCAAATGCTGATGCATGTATAACAAAATGTAATTAAACCCTCGTTTGGCCAATCCATCTCTAGACATTAATTAGCACTAGGTTTGAAAGTTTGCTTGGAGGAATTAGCTCTAAACTCCTAGAATACCTGGCTTTTATTATGGAAGTAAGAATTTAGTAAACATTCTTTGAGCCAGGAAGGTGGTAGGTGACAGATTGATGTATTTTTCTGCTCTGGAATTTCTTCCACAGATTTCTATGGAAAGCCTCTGCCCCCGCTGACTCTACGCCAAAGACCCAACAGTGATACCCATGATGTCATTGCTTAACTGGAGCACAAAGAGAATTTTAAAAAACATAAATTAAGAATCCTATCTTTTTTTTTTTTTTTTTTTGTACCCTTGAAGGAAAATTTTTTGCGTGACATTTTATCAGCATGTGACAACTAAACATGGAGTTCATCCTGTTGTGTTTAATGGTCAGACTTTATAATTTACTTTTCACATCACCAGCTCTTCTTCAGGATTTATTTGGTTTACTTGTGAAAAGACATGGCTGTAAACCTGAAGAAAAACACCTTCAAGATCCCATAATACTGGATTGTACATTCCCACCGAGACCTTTCACTAGGTGCTGTGCAGGTGTTGGTATTTTTTCAGGGAATAAATTATTCTAAAGCATTTTGTAAGATTCCTGTATGATAGGGTGAATATAGAAAGGTTAAACAAATATTGAATATATTTTTCTACCTTTTTATAAAATGAGTTGAAATTTTTGAGTGGAGCTGTGTTCCTACTACCAATAAAATGATACGTAGGGAGCATTAGAAAGCTGATAGTCAAGTGCACAAAAACAAAGTGTGTTTGACTCTTACATTTCTCTTACAGTACCAATACCTTTTCTTAGGTAGTACTTTACATATTTCATATTACTGGCAATCTGAAGCAGAGGGTACGATAAAAAAATTTAAAAGAAATACATTTTATACAAAATAATGCTATTTGAACTGTCTGGAAGTTTTCTTATCAGTTGTTTTCTTTGTTTTGTTATCTGAGTTTGACATAGGTAATAAATATTGTGGGGAAAAAAATAGAGTTGAATACTGTATTGTCTACTACAACAAACGAGAAAATTCACAGAGTGGGAAATTTGCACTAATCAAATCATCAAGTTTGATGGGAAACTGAATCAACCAATATGCAGATGACCTCCCTCAGTTTTTAATCTCAATAATACTAAAATATCATCTTGCAAACTGAAGAAACCCTGGGTTTTTAAGGATTTTTTTAACATTTTCATATAATGTGTTGAAAATCACATACAAGTGATACCTAAACAAGAAGGGTTACGATTTGTTATATTCCTGTTTAAATGTTTTTACTGTTCCATTGGAGACAACCAGTGGTGTATTTGTAAAGGTTCATTGTTCTGCCACTTAATGACAGACAGGATGAATGAAGCTCTTGTTCAGGGTTTTTTTGGGGAAGCAGTATTTGGTAATTTTATATTATGGTCTGCTGTCAATAATGCGGTTTTACCAAAGGAGTTGAGATGTTGAAACCATGTGGTGTGTTACATGTTCAGCACTTTGATATTGGAAATCCTTGCCATGCACCCCTTGCAGCAAGGAGCTGCACAAACATCTGCCATATGAAAATGAAATAATATAGATTTTTAAAGAGAGAGGTGGAATCAGTCTTAAGGATACTAAGTTTGGAATAGGTGGAGAGGTTTATTCCTCTTTGTTTGCTGATTTAGGGAAAGGAGGAAACAATTTCTATGTGACCACCAGCATGAGAATACTTCTTTTGTATTCTAATACTGGAACATGATTCAGTTGAATTTTTCTCAGGATTTGGTCATTTTCCCTTCAGACAACACAATACTAAGTGGAGGGGAGGTTGCACAAAAATGTGTATGTGCAATCTCAACTTTACTAACACTAGCTCTGTTACCACTTAAGTTTTTGGCTTAAAGGCTCTACTTTTGCAGACTTACTTTTTTACAGCTTCAATTTCTAGGAATGTATTACACTTTTGTTTTCCCTCTTTCCTAAAATAAATCATGGAAGTCTTTATTAAAAATAAAGCTAAATACTGCTGTGGTAACAAATTTGAGAAACTAAAGTGTTGATGCTTATATACGAACTGTGTGTTCTGTGTGTTGTGTGTGTGGATATATGTATCATTTTTGATTATTGCTTTTAAAATAAATTTTACCAGTATGTGACCAAAGTACTCAAAAATGTTTTATAAGTTTTTGTTTTATTAATATGCTTTGTAATTATTTACTATGCTGGGGTTTTTTTTCAGTAATTTATACTGCTATGACTTTTTATTTGCTGAAGATGACATTTATGTATAGAATAAAACTAATGCAAAGCATCAACATGTTTCCTGTATTTACAATTTTTTGGAAATAAGTCTAGTCTATAAATATTTAAGGGCTGCAAGTCTCACATTTCTAAAATGAATGAAATAGAGTTCTCATAGACAGAATCTTTGCATATTTTTGCAGGGAAAATGTGATCAAATTTAGAATATACTGATAAGATTGGCAATTAGTTGAGTGTATATGTATACCTATAAAGAGCTTTGACAGTGCACCTAATATTTGGGAGATAAATGTTGTGCAGCTCTAAATTGAGAGCACAGATTAGATTTTGCCAGACTTTTTGTCATCCGTGTCATCACTTTTGATATGTATCAGTGCATGCAGCTAAGAGTATTTGTATTTAAATACAGGAGTGGTAAGAACACAGAAATTCACTATTTAAGCAGAATATTTTGCATTATCTATGTGTAATGTCTTGAATACAATTTACACAAAATATTTTAAAGGTAAGTTAAGAGTGTCTTCTAAGAAGGAATAGTAATGTTCATTAATTGAATTAATGTGAGAGACTCAGTGCTTCAAAATAAGTTGTTCAGTTGTCTTCTCTTTTAGTTACATCTTAGAATCCACAGAAAGACCTTACTCATAGATTTCAAGGTTTTTACATCAAAATTATTAAAAATAGACGTATTTGGTATCCATTAGGTCTCTGGTGTGAGATTGGAAAGGATTGATGGACCATAACAAGGTAAATAACATTGATTCTTTTTTTTCCCTCTTTAAGATTCAAGGAGTCTTTCTTTCAGTAATATATTCCAGTATTTTAGTGGGAGGTTTAGTATTGTAACATCAAGATGCTGCCCAATAACTTTGCCATCATGTTAGCTTCTTGGCTCCTGGGATTCATTCCATTTGAAATACTTCACTATTTTGAATAGAACATACCCACCAGTATTATATTTGTAAATGGAATAAGTAATGGATCCTGCTGTAAGCATAATTTGAGGTATGTTTATCTGCAGTAGCACATGAGAGAGACACCAGATGCATTGTTGCTGTTTGCAGTTTGGCTGTGATGGTGGTGGTGCTGATGGAGTCCTTTCTTTGCTTTGGTGCAAATCTGGTTTCAGACACACGACACTATCTGTGACATAGTGGAATATAGCCATAGATTTAGGGGAAGGGGACTCATTCAGCAGACCTTTTTGTTGTACTGTTACAGTAAAACTCAACTCTTGTGTACAATTTCTGGTATGGTACTGGCCTTAGCAGAATTACAACCACACAGAACTACTTTTTATACTAGTTTTGTTCTGTATCTGTTGGTAAAACTCACTTATCTAAAAGCCTTTCAGGTTTCCTTCACGTTTGATATCTAAGAGGTCTCTGTTTTGCCTCCAGGCCCTTTGTCACAACTCTGATAGAAGCATTTTAAATCAGCTTTCAAGCCAATCTACATGAGGTGAGTAAAAGCACTTAGTCTTCATTAGCTGGTGCCTGAAACTCAAATATTTATCCATACAACAGCACTCCTGCCTTTACCTTTGCACCCCTTTCCAGTCTCAATTTCAGAGGCTGGGTTCAGCCTGCAGAAGCTTTAATTAATTAAAAACCACTCTTAAACAAGTCTGCTGCTTCCACAGGGCTTGATCTTAGCAAGAGAGTTGGCAAATGGGCACAAAAGAGTTGTGGGGATTTCTTTTGTTTTGCTAGGACACAGTGACTGCAGGATGCCCTTCCTTGGAGGAGCAGTTTGCAAGTCTCAATGAAGGGATCAGATGAGAGCAGCCACTGATTTTAGTGCTGCTAAACCAGGGACAGCGGAACTGGGGTACAGTGGTCCTCCTGATCCTGTCCCTGGAGAATGTTTGATCTGAGAGTGTGTACAAGAGATGTCTGTGAATAATTGATTCTCAAGCCTCCAGCAGTTTTTCATGGCAGTACCAGTGGTTTAGGCTGGAGCTGATCTCTGGTGTGGTTCAGATGAGCTGAGTAGCGCTTCCAAAGCCCGGCCAGATAGGAAAAAAGGTACAAGCAGAGACCTGATGTTTGGGGGGATGTAGATGCTATCAGGCCCTCCAGCAGGTGCTGGGATGAGGATCACTGTTGTAAATTGTTTGAGAGCTCAGGTGCTGTCTAATCCTGGTTTGGCTCTGGTGGGGCAGAGGAGTCAGGACGGCAAGTCAGCTTTCGATGGTAAAAAGCAGAAAAACCAGGCAGATAAAAATTGAGGTGGGTTTTTGTTTGTTTGGGTTTTTTGGGGTTTCTTTTTGGTTGGTTGGGTTTTTTTTAAACTGTGGGTTTTTGTTTTTTTTGTTTTGTTTTGTTTCTTTTTTTTAACTGATACGGGAACGAGGTGCCCAAGGAAGTGGTGGGATGCCTCAACGGCGGCACCGTCCAAAGCCAGCCTCCATGGGACCTTGAGCATCCTCCAGGGCGTTGTGTCCCCACCCCTCGCCGAGGGGCTGGGACCAGCTGATCTTCAAGGTCCGTTCCTGCCCCTTTACGTTCTGTGGTGCTGCGAAGAGCCCCGATTCCCGGCAGCGGCGGGGCCGAGCGCGGGGGCCGGGCCGCGGCCGCCCCGCCCCGGGCAAGAGCCAGAGCCAGAGCCAGGCCGGGCGAGCCGGGGCGGGGGCCGGAAGCGCGGCGGGAGGGCCGCGGCCGCTTCCTCCGCGGCCGTGTGGGGAATAGCCGGGAGAGAGCCCGCTCGTCCCGTCTGCGCTGCCCGCGTCCCTCCTCCGCCGCGCCCGGTGTGCCCCGCGTTTCTGCACCCACTGCCGGCAGCTGCTCCGGCACTGACACAGCATTCCCGGCCCCACAGCCCGCCCCGTGCCCGAGCTCCGTCCCGGTGTTGTTTTGGGAAGGAGCGCGGTGGGATGGATGGCTGCTGGGTGCCCCGAGGGAGGGAAACTCAGCGTTTGCCCTCGGGGTTTGCTTAGAAAGCAAAAGCTCTTTCCCTTCTTCTCGTAGGTTAATCTTCATCAGAGTGCCAGGAAGCACTGGATTATCAGCACAGTGGATATGGAGGGTATTTATTAACCAGCCGAGCGGGGAGGAAGAGCGTGCTGTAGTTTAACTCCTGTGCTCTCTGCAATGTCTATTACATCTAGATCGCCTAAAGATGTGGTCTAATATTTGAGCATTCTAATATCACTGATACCAAGCTGATGTAATTAGCAGGATGTTTTTTATTCATTCTAGTGAGAACTAAAGAAGGTTTAGTTTGGCTTTACTGCTTTTCTTTTTTCTTCCTTTCTCTGAAGCTGGAAAGGAAGCCCAGAGGGAAGCTCCAGAAGCAGATCTGCCGGGTGGTTCTGGATCACTTCGAGCAGCAGTACACGGCAGAGCTGGGGGATGCGTGGAGCAATGTCAGGTCTGTGGCTTTCAGGACATGGAAGGAAGGGGAGAGATAAGGAACTGAATTAGTAATGACACGTATGGCAAAGGCTGTCACTAAATTTGGGTCTTGGTCACACAGCTGCTGAAGAGCTTCATTATTAAAAAGCAAAAAGCATCAATGCATAGCATTAGTTTAATTGAGTCAACTTAAAAGCTCTTCGATTGGATCAATGTGTTTTTCTGCTTTAGGCAGTGAATACTCCTGAGGAGTATTTTTTTTTCTTTTTAGATTAAATGAAAAATTACTAATAGGAATTCAAACTGAAAGGGGGAAATCCGTATAAGAGCAAACTGAAATAAAAACAAGCACTTTTCTATCACATGCCACTGCTGTCTTCCAAAAATGTCTGTTAATTTAAGTTTTACTGGCCAACTGTTTGCAGAACATAAAATGTAGAAAAGAACACTTGTAAAAATGGCATTTTAGTATTGGCTGGAATGAACATTGTAAAGCCAATGTGTGTGTGTTTATTTTTGTTGTTTACAGCTAATAATACAGTTATTCTTTGTCCCCAGGGAAATACTTTATAGTCAGGAAAACCATTATGCTTCATCGTTTATATCTCGTTTATATCTCCTACATAAAGTAAGAAAAATGGAGAATGTCTTGTTTCAGAAGAAATCGGTATTTTAAATGCAATAATTAAAAAACAAAAAAAAACCAGTGGCTTGATTTCCTATTAAAATTATTTTCCTGCATACTTTTTCTAACCAAAATGATTAATTTCTGATTACACCAGAATTATCCAGTTGTAAGTAAAGGCTTCCTACACTGTTTTATTTGGTGGATTATTGAATGGCTTTTCCTTTTTTCACCCTAGAGACGTGCTGACCTCGCCGTGGTGCTGGCAGCATGCTGTGCTGCTGAACAGGTCTGTGAGAAACACAATTCAGTTTGCAGAATTTGTAAAAGTCTAATAATAAGGAAGGACAGTATTTCTAGCACTGGGGTGTTCCTGACCAACAGCCAAAGAATACCTCTGTGTATACAAACAGTGTTATCTTTATGCTGTTACATCACTGAGGTACATGCATAGTCATCTGTTTCATATATTATTCAAACATTCTTGCTAATTTTCTGATGTTTTGGGAACTCCTTTGTTAGACTTCTTCACACACTGGCTTATCTGCATGACATGATGTGTGTCAGGTTAATATCTTTTTTTTCTTCTTGTGTCTCTTTTCCTGCTGTTTCACATCCATTGATAAGGATTTAGTGTGTCCTTCTTAAATTTAGCATGGTATTCTCTAATGGTGCTCTGGTTTGTGTCAGGGTTATCTTACCACTTGGACAGGTTGGTCAGTGGATAGCCTTGCACTGGTTTTAGTTACACAAAGCCTTTTTCACATCTTCTGTTTTGTTGAGGTCTGTAATACAATACACTTGTCACACTGTTGTTTCCATAAGTGGCACATAGATATTCTTTTCATTACATTTCTATTTCTATGAGCAGCACAGTGCAGACTTGAGCTGATAGATTCTGTTACATTAACAAGCAGCTGAAAAAGAGTTACCATTGATACTATTTCTAGATCCTTGTCATCCCTAACAACATGTATAAGCTAATACATAAATGAGAAAGCCAACATTATCTGGTTATTTTTCACAGTTTCAGCCAGAGCCCCGGCCTGGAGAGCAGCCTGGCTGAGCAGGGATACCATCCTGCCTTCCCAGCAGCCCTGCCCTACCTCCCAGCAGCCTTCAGATGTTACACCAGGACAGCTCCTGGCAGATTCCCTGCACAGAAACACCAGCCTGGCAGGCTGAAGGAGTATTACCTGCTCAATGCTGCCTCGCTGCTGCCCGTGCTGGCCTTGGAGGTGAAGGATGGGGAAGGTGTTCTGGATCTCTGTGCTGCACCAGGGGGCAAATCTGTAGCTATCCTGCAGTGTGCCTGTCCAGGTAATGGAGCCAGGTGCTGGTGGAGGGAAAAAAACCAGACAGCAGTTTGTGTTCCACCTAGTTCTGTGCTGTTTAATCAGGATTTTGTGAAATCTGTTTGCCTAAAAGAGGATTAAAAATACAGTCCTTGCTTTAAGGTAGATTACCACAGAGTGACAGGCAAAAGTGAGGTAGCTTTGTGGATTTTTTCTCAACTATTACTGAAGTAATTAGTTCAGTATTACTGAATGATTACTTCAGTAATAGTTGAGAAAAAATCCAGAAGTTTTTGAAGTTACTTGAAGCCATATCAGTTTGTTGGCACAGGAATGTAAGTAATCTGCAATCTTATTCTTGCCCCTTTTTGCTTTTTTTGTTTTTCCTTCTCCTCTTTCTTCAGCCCTGTGCAAGTATTACAGGTAAATTTAAGCGTGCTGATGTAAAGCAGAGCATAAGAAATGAAATGTGCAAGATCTGGGCAAAGAGAGAAGGTTTATGGTAAGGAATTGGTTGGAGGAGGATTCTGAGATGATCAGAGTGTTTAGAAGGCAGCAGCAAGCAAAGCAGCAGCTTGGCCCAAGGAGTTTAAGCAGGCTGGGATTGCTGTTTCCCTGTTTATTTGCTGGCTTGGGTAATAATTGTTTTAAACTGTTCACAGTACCTTGTGCTCCTGCTGATGAGACCATTGCTATAACCACCTGCACCAGGTGATTACAGCTGGTTTCCCTCTCCCTTCTAGAGGAATGGGGTGATGCTAATGAAGTAAATTAAATAGGAGTTGTCCTTTCAGAAGGTTTAGAGGAAAAAAACCCCAGTGCTTTACCCTCTGTCTACTTCTGAAGAGACCAAACTGTTGCTGAATGGGAGATGTGAAGAATTTAATTCTTGATCTACTTCAGGGAATGCTAAGATGTACCTTAAGATACACAAAATTAATGCTTCATTTATTTAAAAGGCAATTTAATAATGTGGGGCTTGCACTTCATTTAGATGGTGGCTCAAGGAGCCCAGGGAGGCACTCACTCTTTGGATGTGGGTCATGATTAAAGTTTGTTTTACTGTGGAAGTTTATTGCTACAGAAGGATTTCCTAGGAAATATTTAGGGTTTGCTCTGTAGGAGCATGTTGAGATTTATTTAGGTTTATAAAAATTCAGTAGTGGTATAAAAAGTACCATAACACAGGCACATAAGGTGTAAACTCTATGGTAGTCGTGGCAATGCAGTAGAACTTCCAAAATAGGTCTAACTCCTTACATTTGTGAAAACAAAACTGAAAAAAAAAATATAGAGAGACTTTTCTTTGGGTGTTTACTTCTCTTTGTTTGTTTTTCCTTAATTTTCTAAGGTTATTTTCACTGTAATGAATATGATGATTTGAGGTCAAGATGGTTGGAGCAGACAATAGAATCCTTCATCCCAGATCCTTTCATTAACTTGATAACAGTCTCTAAACTGGATGGTAGACAGATTGGAGATCTTCAGCCTGAATTTTATGACAAGGTAACATTGTTATTGGCAAATTATATTTCTGCATTCTGATTCTTCTTCTTCCTATGCTGCTGTCTTTTTAATTTTCTTTTTTTTTCTGGCCTCCCACAAAAATATCTCACCTATCAAAGGGAATAAAATCGTGTACAGGATTTGTAGAGCCTCAGGAAACACTTCATGAAGCTTCTTGTGCATTTATTCCTGTGTTGGATGATGTTGGGAGTGAATTCTGAAGACCTTGTAGCTGTAATCTTTGCATAATGTGTAATTAGGAAGGGGAGGTGGACAAGAGGGAGCTCCTCAGGTAGATTGTTCAGAGCACTAATTTTTTTATCTTCCCCAACTGTTAACCCCTAAAAAACATTTAAAAATAGTAATGGGATCATTTCACCCCCAAAATGGAAAATAAAAGTTCCCTAAAAAATATATTTTCAAAACTGGCCATCTTTGTTGAGATTTTTAAAATTTTGATTTTATTAATTGTTTAGGTCCTGGTTGATGCTCCTTGTTCAAATGACAGAAGCTGGCTCTTCTCTGCTGACCCTCAGCAAGCTGTGCTCAGGCTCATGCAAAGGAAGGAGTTGTCCTCCCTGCAATTCCAGCTTCTGAGGTGAGAAGTGTAAAAAGTTAAAGAAACTTCCTGTAATTGATAAAAATTACATGGGGGCAAGGTGTAATAAACCAACCCAGGATTCCTGCTCTGGAAATAATGTCAGGAATTTGTGGTTGGGATGCTGTTTAGAATATCCAATGGGTCTGAGATAATAATGAGGATGTGGAAATATCTGTGGGTGATATCAGCAGTGAGGCTTTGGTCCTCTTAACTCACTTATTCACAGGAATGTCTATTTGCTCATGATTCACTACAGTCTGGTGTAAAATCAAAATATTTTTAGGTGGACACAGCTCAAGTGGGTGTAGATATATTCCATATTGATGGTTTGTAGCACAGAAAGCTCCCAGTCCTAACTGGTAAAAAAGGGAAAGAATGTGAGGTTTGGTGGGGGAGGGAGGACTGTGTATTTTTGAGAACATGCCCCCAGTAACCCAAAGCCAGGCTGTCATGTATTGCACACCTTAATGCTACCAGCTATGGGCTGGCATTTGTGAAGCATTTCAAACTGCACAGTTTTTCTCATGGGGAAAAAAAAAAAAAAGAGTGACTTTTCAATAAAACCTTCTGAAATAAAACCTTGAATGTTATTTGTGGAGTAACAGTCATGCCTGAAGTCCATCTGTCAAAGCTAATTGAGGGGAAAATAATATAATAAATATTATAAGAAAAAAAAGAAAAGTTTTTTATGGAAAGTTCCCATTGCAGTTCAAGATAGTTTAGCAAGACTTCCAGTTGAAAAAGGCCTGGCAGAAGCCTGTGATTTATAACAGAAATATGAGGATCTTATTGCAGTAATGCATCATGTCATCCATTTCCTTTGAAGAAATCAATCACATTTAAAACACTGACCTGTTCCAGTTTCCCCTTTTCAATATCTGACATGGAAAATCCAATTTGTGAACCCATAGCAAAAGGAAGCATACATCATGCAGAGAAATCTTGAGAATTTGCATAAATCATTCCACATTGTAATCCTGGAGAACTCATGACAGCAGAAACCTTGTTTAAAAAAAAAAATACACTCCTGTCAGCCCAAATCAGATTTAATTGAATTATTCCTAAATAGAGGGAGAACTCTATGTTGAAAATGTTCTTTAGTTTAGCAACAGTAATAAAAATTTGTAAAGACAAAATACCTTTGCTGTATAAATTAGTAAAATACCTTTGCTATGTAAATTATAGTAAAAGGATGGTTACTTTCAAGAGTTAAGAGTTTATAAGGGTTATTGGATAAAAGGATTATTGGTAAAGCATATAAGGGTTATTGGGTAAAATATTTGAAGGATAGCTGTCTACTGGGTGGTTATTGTTCAATTCACATGATCACTTCAGAATGAATTCCCAGTTCTAAAGACATCTCAGATGCCACATGAAAGGGGAAGAATGAAATGATAAAGCAAGATCAGAAAAGGCTGAATGGGTCGTGACACGTGCATTAGAACTAAAATTCTGGAATGCTTCCCTATTCAAGCCTCTGTTTAATGACTAGAGTGCATAATTATAAATAAAAAGCTGAGTTTGAATCCCTTCTCCAGTACTTCCAGTAATATTTAGGAGGTCTGAGGCTCCATGAATATTACTGTAAAAAAACCAAAAAAGCTGTACTGCTTTTTGCAGGAGCCAGCTCCTGCAGGGCTCTCTCTGGTTCATTGATTCAGGTTACCTGGTGCTTGATGCTCCCAGGTGTTCCTGACCTTGGTCCCTATGTCTGTAACCAAAAACAAGTGTAAGGCTGGATCCCAGCAGTTTTATTGAGAATAATGTAAGAAATACATTATAAGAGCATGGAGAGACAGGACAAGGGGAATGGCTTCAAACTGAGAGGGGTGGGTTTAGATAGGACAGCAGGAAAAATTCCTTACTGTCAGAGAGCTGAGGCCGTGGCACAGCATGCCCACAGAAGCTGTGGCTGCCCCTGGATCCCTGGGAGTGTCCAAGGCCAGGCTGGACAGGGCTTGGAACAATTTGGGACAGTTTGGAGATTGGATTGGAAATGGGTGATCTTTAGGTCCCTTCCAACCCCAACCATCCTGTGATTTGAAAGTGAAGATTGAGGGACCAGGCATTATTTCAGTTTAGCAGGAGGATTAAGTGTAACACAAAAATGAGAAGAATGAAATGCAGAGTGGAGTTCTATCTTTATTTCTGTCAAGCAACAGCCTAAAATTTGAGATTCCCTCCTTCTTAATGAAGGAAATGCTTCACCTCTAATTTGTTCTTATGGATCTGTTTCTGAGGAAGCTGGGGTCATCAAGGAGGGAAGTTAAGGAAGGAAAAATACAATTTAATTAATTAAGTACTTAGAGGCTTCAGAGAAATGAAGATCTGGAAGAAGCTGATGCAACAATTTTCTTCCTGCAGCCTGCATAAAATCTGAAATGTAAATAAGTGATATAAATGCTGAACAGCAAATGTTCTAAGCAATGAGGGCACCACTGATTTGAAGGAAATTGAGATAGTAATGATTGCTCATACCCAAACCAAAGCATCCCTGCTGAGTGCTCTAATCCAAGAACACACTGCAAATCTTGTTAGTATTTGGAATGTTCATGCAGAAAACAAATTGCAAAGTTGAAAAAAAAGAAATATTCACTTCCTGATGCTAAATGCTAACACAAAATACAGTGTTCCCAAAAGCAAATTTACCAATGTTATCAGTTCTCAGAGAGAAATTAAATTTTGGGCTAAGCTTGAATGCCCAATTACGTAGTGGTTAAACTGTTATGGATGTTGTAATTATTCTTAGACTGGTTTCTGCAGCTGAAAGGAACTTGTGTTAGGGCTCAGCAGAAAAGAAATCCAACAGAACACAGTTTAGAATACTCAGCAAAGGCATTCAGGCTGCTGGAACTCTTCTGTACACAGCATCTCTCAGTAATTAAACAGCTCTGTATTCTCACTGAATTGTGGAGTTTTCCACAGGAGGGGAATTGTGTGCTCTTAGCTGGGCTTTTTTGTGGTTATAGAGTGAATGCAGAATTGTGTTTATAAAATCATATATTTAGCATCTGTCACCACTGTACCATTTCTGCTGTGTGGTGTAAATTGTGCTGGGAATTGCTTCATCACATCTCCAGCTCTTTCCCCTGGAATTTTTCCTTCACTCCTCTGTAGCTGCCCAGTTAATCCTTTTATTGTCTAAAACCATCTTCTCAATTAGCTCCATTGGGAATTTTTGAGAATTCCAGCTGTTGGACCAACAAATCTGCTGTGGGTTATGTGGATGATAGGATTCTTTAGCCACTTTCTGTCTTACAAAAGCTGAGTATTTTGTGTGTGTTTGTGCTGTGCTGTTCCCCAAAACACTTTTGGTTGGGTTGCTGGAGGTTCTACTTGGTTGCTTGGAATTTCTTCACAAAGAGTGAGTGCTGTGGCCACTGCTGTGGCTCCAGGTATTCCATCATGTTTTATCTTAAAATAATTGGTTTCTGATTTTAAGTGTGGCAGCACCCTGTGTATAACTTATGGGTCAAGTCTCTCAGGGCATGTTGCAAAGCCAGGTTTATTGAATATATAAACAACTGTATGACTGAACAAGTAAGCTACTCAGCAGCTTTTTGGGATCACATATTTGAATTTGGGCACAAATTTTGCTTCAATTCCACCTCCAGTCCTTTCTCTGTGTGTTTCATGAGCTGTGAGGATAACCAGTAACCCTACAGTTCTCTTTAGTGGGCTTCAGAGGTCTTTAATTCTCCCTCCTGGGCTGTCTCATATCCCTGTTTTAACAGCATGAATATTCCAGAAGTCACCATGCATTAAAGGAGAAAGACCAATAATTCTAGCTTTCTTTGTCTTTGCTTTAGAATAATTCAGAATTATTTGCAATAGAAATGTTGCTTATTAGGATTTTAAGGACAAATTTTGTCTAGGGTAGAACAGACTGGGTTTAGTTGAGGAGGTTTTGATGCCTGTATCTCCTTTTATTTACAATTCAACTTAATGTTGAAAAAGGCAGCTGATTTTCATGATTCTCTTGTTCTTCTGAGCTGCAGTGTTTCTCCACAGGAGCAAAGTTTATTTAGAGAGGAGCAGAAGGAGTGCTTGAACAACTGTCACTGCCCATCACAAAGTATTAAAAAAAATTGGTATTTTGACACTGAAGGATTTCCTTTATCATTTTGTCCAGGTTCAAAGAAATAAAAGCAAAGCCTTTAACATGCAGGTCATACTGCCACAAAGTATCTGGACTCTTGTGAGAGACAAAAGGTAATGTGGATATTTTAAGTCAATAAAAAGAATAGAATTGGCATTTTTTATTCTGATGAGACATTATCTTGCCTATTGAACAGGAATACATAGTAGTTGCCAAAAGATGGCACTGTTGAAGTGTTGTGTTAGTTTAAAATTGCCCTGAAATTGTCATCTCTTCACTTTAATACAGCAAATGGTCGAATTATTAACATAATTAATGCTGCCCCTTCCCATGGCATGCAGCATAAACCCACGTGTCAGAGGACAGGCTGGATGTGCAGGTGCTACCTATAGTGTGAAATATATATTTTTGGGTCTGCCCAATTTTAAAAGGATATTTGAGACACCAAAACTTTTCTCTGTCAGTGGGAAAAAGTCCTTTTTAAGTCCTGGCTAACTACATTTTAGTTGAATGGAAGAGTTTTTTGGGTTTGCCGTGTGGCTTTAGCATGATAATATTTTTTCACCTGAGATACTAAGCAGTGATGCTGTTTTGTTTTCCCTGATTTAGTAAATATTGAGAAATAAGCTAAAAAAAAAAAAAACCAAGAAAGAGCTTTCAAATACTATATTTCTTTCCAAAGTCTTTTTTGGTACTCCTGTAATACAGGGAGTTAGGATAGATTTAATACATCTGTTGTACCTCTGACTTCCACAGTACAATATGAACCTCTACCCAGAGACACACCCTGCAAAAATATAAAGTATTTTTTACTTGTTTTTTGATAGGGTTGTAAATTCTCATTTAGAAAGAGGAAGGGAGTAATCTGCATATGTCAATTTGTTTTACAGAACTTGTGGAATGAGATGGACAGACAAAGGCTGCAGAAAAAGTTTCCAGGGTCCTTAATGTGTGTTCTGATGTTTCTTCATGTGAAGCATGAAACCTTGCAGTAGTAGTGCCTGTAAGCTTGTAAAATTAATTAAAGGAAATACATGTACCTGAAATAGAATTAGGATATTAACTAGATGTTTATATCAGCTGAAAGTTTTAGCTCCTTAATAAACAAAGGTAGTGTGTGCCACCAAGAGAAAAAGAACTGCAGAATAACTGCTTGTAAATAATTTGAGGGGTTTTTTAAACATTGTAATAAGAGGAAGGTGAAAAAATATTTTGGCATCTTAATCATTCTAGATTTGACTTTCTGTTTTTAGGAGTCACAGAGTTACAGGCATTGAATTCCTTCAGATAAGAGTTGATAATTAAAATTCCCAATAAAATAATCTTAGTTCCTAGATAGTGGGGTTGCAGTAGGACTAACTTGTGCTTCATCTCCAGCCTACCCCTTGGATGAGCTTGTTTCCCTTCAGTGGTTAGAGAGGAAGTTGGTTAAATATTTGTTAAAAAATTCCCTGATGATCAAATCCTGTCCTGAATGAATTCTCTGTGCTGGTGATGAGGAGGGGACCAGAGTGCTCGCTCTGCTGGCCCAGCTCAGTGTCACCCTGTGTGACTTTGAGCCCAGCACTTCCTCACGTGGAATTTTGCAGCTGCCTGCAGGTTTATCAGAAGCCAGGCACTGCTTAATCAGAGCTGGGGGCATTGACTTTGAGCTCAGGCACTGAAACAACTGTTGCTGCACTTGACAAGATGGATAGATACATTGATTAACCTTGCTGCCTGAAGTAATTCTCCTCAGATATTTTAATTCCTGCTGCAGGTTCAGAATAAAGAGAGCTGCACTGAGCAGGCTGACCTTTTTGGGTCACGGGCCAGTGGAGATTCACAAGTTAAGGTTTAGGCACAAGGGGGTTTTGAGGTGAGATTTTCAAGTTTCCCTTCAGAGGCTTGTGCTGCTCTTTCCTCTGAGGGAGGAGCATGGTGCCCTTGAAAATGTTGTCTTGATGGGTTCTTGCTTTCCATATGGGAAGAAAAAGACATTTAGCAAGTGTCCAGGCATTTAGACTTATAACCTGTAGCTACATCTACTTTTTTATATTTCACCTTTCCCACTTTTACATGGTAAAAGAATTTTCTCTCTTGTCTAAATGCTGTCTTAGAGGAAGGAAAGTTGTTGCCATTATCTGCTTCTCTGAGTAAAATTCTCAGGTTTGCTAAAAGTACATCTCAATTGTCACATTAAAAGGTTCCCAAGCTTACTGGCTGCCCTCAGGGCTTGGCACTCCTGCATGCATGGAAAAGGTGTAGCTGGCAGGGGAAAGTCTGTCAAAAAATGAGTTATGTGGGTGGATTCTGATAATAATCTGAAGATCAGCTCGACTTCATGAGAGCCCATTTAGACTTCAACTCTGTTCTCTTTGAGTTCTCATGTGAAAGGTAAAAAGCAAAATCCAATACATGGGGGGAGAAAAAGTGATTTTTAATTTCCCCAGATGGGAATGAGGCCAAGAGATGGTGCATCAGGCTTTCTTGCTGGTTTGGTGTCCGTGAGAAGGCAAGGCTGCACATCCCTGCTTTGCTTAAATTTTGAATTTAAGTCCATATATGTGTGTGCACTGTGGTTATTAGTACATACTTGGCTTGCTGGTTACCATAACCAAAACTCATAAAAGAATTGAGCAAGGTCATGTGTATGCTCCTAAGACAAATAGGTTTGGTATCATTCTCAGGAGTTTTCACTTGGTCTCATCATTGTCTGAAGCAGTGTCCTGGTGTTCCCTTATTATTTTGGACAGGACTTTCAGAGCAGCTTTGAAAGCTGTGATCAGCTTTGATCCTCCTTGTGCTGAAGCTTGTATTTATTGATTATTTTCCCAAAAGTTTCAGTTCTGTTGAAAGGGCTTATCTTTCCCCCCCTTGTATTTTCTTCTTTCCTTTCTTAATTGTTTTTGGTCAGCTGTCACCCTTGGGAAGTCCTCAGCTTGTTTCTGGAAGAATTGCTATTTCCATGGCGTTGTCTTTGTTCATCTAGACTTGGAATCAGACTTGCTGCATTTGGGGGCTGCTCATCTCATCTGGTTTGAGGAGATGGTTGTTTCTTTTCTTCATTTTATTTGTCCCAGGATATTTTTTTCCCCTGGGGTGTGGGCACAGTTTTGTCAGCAATATCTACAGGTCTCTGATTATTCAGTGTCATTTACATCATTCACCTGTTCTGGTTTTCTTGGTATTAAATAAAAGAAATCTTAGGGATTTAAATAAAAGCAATCTTAGGGAGCAATTGTATATAATGTGGTATTTTCCTGTAGTATCTGGTTGTATATCAGCTTACAATTCAGTCTTCGAGCCAAAAATGGCTCAAAAATGTATGATTTCATGGGATTTATCTTCAGACATTGTTTTAATAGGAAATGAACCTTTTGTGTAGCTTCCTCTTTTAGAAATGTGGTGGTACCAGGTTTGAAGAATACTTCTGTGATGCAAGATTTTTGAGTTTTCTCCTTACTCTTTTAATTTGGAGTAGGTGAATACAACTTACATAGCTCATTTCTATAGTCATAAGTTGTATTGCATATGTGTGAGTAAGAACTTGGCAGATCTGCTGTAGTGGGAAACAAGCAGTTTTTGTAAATTCACTTGCAGTGGTAAAGTGATAAAGAGCCTCTGTTCCCTCCACCCCACAGTAGTTGTGAAGCTTTCAGGCTTTAAGCCACTATGTTACCTTTGTTTAGTCAAAATTTGTCAGCAGGTTAATAAGTGAAGGGCACTTATAAAGAAACAATAAATGATCCCTAAAAAAAGAGGTTGAAAAGCAGTGGCTCAGTGACGCCCCCAAATCCTCTTACCTGCTGAATGAGTTGGAGAATTAGCAGGAGAGTTTCTAAAATTACAGCCCAGTCATTAATTCAGGCTGTTACTGCAGGTTCACACAAGCATCTTGCCAAGTGTCTGACAGGCCCTTTTGATGTGGGGTAACCCATTCTGTGTGCAATTGCAGCATTTTCACAGCAGTGCTGAGCTCAGGAATGCTTGATGTGTATTCTGAATGGAAGCTGCTTTGTACTTGTCACTGTGGTGTAAAAAATACCTTCTGCTAACTGAGAATACAATAATAAATGAAAAGTAAAATTGTGTTGTGGGTGGTTTCCTAAACTTAAAGTTAAGCCATTTTTGTAATGTTATTTTTGTCATATTTATTTATACTCTGGATTTATAAGCCTACACATTCTCCCACTAGCAGTATGTCACTTTTGATGTTGATTTTTTCCCTTTTTCCTGTTGTTCTCTGCAGGTCTGCTGTTCAAGCCCTGCGTCCTGGTGGCTCCTTGGTCTATTCCACGTGCACCCTCTCCAGGGCAGAAAACACTGATGTGATCAATCTCATCCTGAACTCCTGCAGGAATGTGATGCCTGTGGATCTAAGTGGGATGGCCAGAGGTGTTTCCCAACAATTCACTTTCCTAAGTGGAATGCAGCAGCATGAACTGCTGGTTCTCCCAGAGAAAGGGAGAGCTTGGGGTCCCATGTATGTGGCTAAATTGAAGAAAGTGTCCTCCACCTGATGCCTGTTGATTATGAACAGTATATGATAAATTAATATTGATTTAAATACAGTATGTGTGTGTGAACACATCCAAGGCAACTGATTTTAGAGTGTTGCAGTTTCCTGATCAAAAGGAAGCAAGACATTTAACTTATGTTAACTTAAAATACTGAATGTGCCTTCCAGCGTGGGCTTGTGAGCCTCTGAGTCCTTAGGAAGTTGGTATTGTTTTCAAGGTGGTGCTTTTAAAGGGATTTGGATTCTAGAATAGAGGCTTAATGTGATAGAGTTTTGCACTTGATAAATAACCAGGTTATTTGCTAACTTGGTTTTAATACAGTATGTTTTTAAATAAATGGTTTTCAGTGGTCTGAAGTCATGGAAATCCTGCATTCTCTCTGAACACATCTGGAAATCTGTGTTTCTGCAAGAACTGATTTGTATGGACAGTGTCATCTTCAAGCACTGGCAGAACAGGTTTTGTATTTGCTAAGTTGTTTGCTTAAAAAACAAAGGTGTCTTTTCTTTACAGGTCAGCAGTTAGATCAACACCAGCTTTTTTTTTTTTTTAATTTGTTAATATTCTTCTATTTTGAGCTTGCAAAAATACGAATTGAAAGAGTAATGGCACATATATTCCAGCCTGTGCTTGTCTTGAAGCAGAGTGGAACCCTTTCATCCCCAAGGGTCCTTTCCCAGATGGAAGGTGATAATCACTGGTTGTAAAAACATTGTTTTAAAGAACAGAGGTAGAAGAGTTGCTGATGTGGAAATGGGGGTTTTAAAAACATTGCTTTAAAGAACATTGTTTTAAAGAACAGAGGTAGGAGAGTTGCTCATGTGGAAATGGGGGTGTGTGACATTGTGCATTTATTAATTTCACAGAATGGTTTGGGTTGGAAGGGACCTTAAAGATTATCAAGTTCTGACTTCCTTGCTGTGGAAGGGACACCTTCCACTAGACCAGGTTGCAAAGTCCCATCCAACCTTAAATTAAACACCTCCAGGGACAGGGCATCCACACTTCTCTGGGCAGCCTTTTCCAGTGTGTCATTGCCCTCACTGTAAAAAATTTCTTTTTAATATCAAATCCAAATCTGCCTTCCTTCAGTTTGCAAACATTTAGCATATTTTATGTGTATATCACACAGTTTGCCCTCAGAACACTGCTGTGCCTTCTGCTGAGGCAAACAAATGCAGCTGAGGATTCTGAAACGTCACCCTTTGCTGTGTGAGCTTTCACAGGTGGCCTTTCCCCTGCTTTGGAATGAAAAATGTTTGAGGTAGTCCTGCAGTGTTAAATTGTCAGCAGTGTCTCTGAAAACTTGAGAGGCTGCAAAGTTGATGCAATTTGAGTATGCAGAGGATACTGTGAAAAGGCCTGACAGCATCTATCCCAGGAACATTGAATGTAATATCCAGATTTGAAGTCATGTCAGGCTGCTGGGTGAAATAACCATACCTTTGGCAAAATGCTTCCCATCACTTTCATTTGCCCTGTGGAAATTGAAATGGAAAGGCAAGAATGTAACCTGCTCAGGGATGGAATTGAAATATGTGCTTGATGGTTGAGGAGGACGTGGGCTGGGTAATCACAGGAAGAACAAAGAGACCCTTGAAAGCTGAACTCAGTCTCAGCAGATGGGCAAATCCCTGTGAGCTGTTTTAGCCCTGAACCCTGCAGCAAGGTGTGCACTGAGTTGTGTCTGCATAACCCTTTGCTGATCTCCTGGAGTCCCTTTCCAGTCCCAACCAGTCTAAGCATGCACCAACAAGAGACGTAAAAACAAGGCTAATTAATCAGTGACACTTATTTTTGGTTGTACTTGATTAATTTTGGTTTATACTCTGTTCCAGATTGCTGTGGAGTTGTTTTTTTAGTTCTGTTCTAATCAGTTCTGGCTGGTGACAGGAATTTGTTGGGCACATGTGGAGTGAGAGGGGAAAAGCAGAAAGGATCGAGGTAGGCCTGCAGAGGTGAGGGGCAACATTTGCACATGTTGGCAAGCACTGTCCACTCAATGGCACTTCTTGAAAAGGCTTCTTGTCCATTCAGGTATCTCTTGGATACTTCTGCTCTCCTTCATTACAAAGGTGCAATATTTTTCCTTTTTACGCCTTTTTTTTTTTTTTTTTCAGCTAGGTAATTGTAATTTAATTCCTTGCCATGTCCTTACTCCTCTTTCCTGAGCAATGCTGACTTGTTTTGCACCCCTTCTATTATAGAAGAAATTGCAGCCCCAAGCAAGTTGAGGGCAGGAAAATGACCAATTTTGTTGGACTGGGGAGTCCCAGACAAATCTTCATGATCTCTAGTGAAACTGCCCACAGTTGTATGTGTAGCACACACCAGTGCCAGCACCTCAGAGGCAACAGAGAGCTCTGGAGTTCAGCTGCTCTCATGCTTTTCTGCCATTCCTTTTCCAACATCCAGAAAGTCACTTCCCTCTTTCAGGAGGGTTGGCACAATGAGAAATTGGAAAGCCTTATCTAAAGGCAATTTCAGTATTTACCAAATTTTATTCTTTATTCAGTGGCATCTGACACAGTTCAATTATGGCTTGTCAAAAGCATTCTCCACTGTGGAGTGGAGTGGAAAAACAGATTACACAATGTGTGTGTGCTGATGCAGCTGACCAGGGGACTAATGAACTCTTGGCTGTCTCAGTAAGGTGTGGGAAGAGAAGGTTGAAGGAGGGGCAAAATGAAAAGATCAGGACTACAGCAGTGGGAGAAAAATGTGAGATACTGTGGCTTTTAGCATGGAAGAGCAGCAGTGGCTGCAGCCTGTTCAGGAAGAGCTCCGTGAATAGAGAGGATATTTTTTTCCCTGGGGTGTGGGGGGTGTGTGAGCAGAGTTTTGTCAGTAATATCTACAAGTCTTTGATTATTCAGTGTCATTTACACCATTCACCTGTTCTGGTTTTCTTGGTATTAAATCTGGGGGAGAGTGGGAGAGCCACAGGTGCCTGTACTGGGCTGGGAGGATCCCCTCACTTCATTTAACTGTCTTAGAAGGAGAATTGAGGACATCAGTTGTGAAAACTGGAGAGGGATTGCTTTACATTTGCTATAAGCATTTAAATCAAATGTGCCTACCTGCTTCTTGCCAAACAAGTGGCTGTATTGGTTGATGTTCCTATCAGAAAAGTTTCTTTGATGAGTGGGGGAAAAATTTGAGACTCGGGCCTGGCTGCAGTAGAATTTGGCTCACTTCTAAGCTGATGTAACTTTATGCAGTATTGGCTATAAATGAGATTCTTTGTTCTGGGGGAAACTGGAAGAGCACATGCTGGTGGTCTCTTAACTTCCAGGGAAGAGTGAAATTTGGAGTTCTCTGTTTGCCAAACCTGCCTCAGAGCACACACAGGGCACACAGTCACTGGTCACAGCTTTTAGATGTCACCCCACCACGTGATTCCTGACTAAAGACTGGTGTTTATCACTTGTCAGAAAACGTTTTCCTTGTCTGGTCTTCCTGTATGCATCCTATGACTTGAGGTCAAGGTCTTCTGACCTTGGAAGTTTTTATTTTCTTAGTAGTTTTACATAGTTTTCAGCTGGATCAAGCATCATGCACCTTCCACAGCTCCGTCTCAAAAAATGTTTTGTGTGCCACCAAAACAAAATTCCTGGATCAAAAAGTCACAGCTGCTCTTGAGAGGGAGAGATGGAACATAAACCTGGGTTAGTTTTTTGTACTCCGCAGAGGAATTTTTGCTCCCTGCAGCTGTGTCCAAGGGGGTTCTTCCCATCAATGTTTTCTGCTGTTTCTCTCTGAGATGGTCACCATGATATTGTGGTGATGTGACCCTTTGTGGGCTCAGAGGAAAAAGAAATGGATCTGCTGCCCTAAACAGGTAATAATCTTATAGTGAGAGGTGCCACAAGTAGAAGTATTTTTTTAAAGATGATAAAGGCACTAGGAGGCAGCACAGCAATCCAGATTTGAATGGAGCCAGCACTTCAGCTGACCAGCTGAGCAGTGGCATTCTCACCTTGTTCTTTCCAAAATGATGCTTCCCTGACATGAGGCTTTCATCTTCAAGGACCACAAGCATTTGGCCTGACCTCACCTCTGGCAAGGCAAATCAAATAAAGCAGTCAAAACAGACAAGGGGCTTGTTTGCATGCAGTGTCAGAGCAGATCTTGCAGCCACCCACAAGAGATTTGGGTGGATGTTGCTGTGTCTGAGTCCCCTGTGCGGCTCTGGGGTAATTCTTGTGCAGCAGCTCTGTGTTGGGGATGGGTCCTGACACGATTCCTGCTGATTCTTCCCCTGTCTCCAGTAAATTCCTTCGCTGCTGGGGAGATCTTTAGAGTCACATGTCTTCAGTGAGAATCTGGGAATGGCTTTCAAACCACCTTTTGATGGTGGAAATGGCTTTCAAACCACCTTTTGGCAAAACTTCTGTCTCGGAATAGGTGTTGTTGTAACACCTTAACCTGCTCGAGGTCCCTTGATTTGGGGGTGCCTCAAAATGTAGCACATCTTTTAGATCTACTTCTTCCTCCTTAATGTACTGGGTCCTTATTGAATATCCTATCTTAAAAAATAGAGGAGGACTGGGTGCTCCCTACCCTAAACAAAACAGGGTAAAGCCCAGAAGTGTGATGAGGCAGTAGGAGAAGGTGGAAGAGGAGCCCAGGGATTTCAGATTTATTGAGAACCATCCCGCCACTAATAAATGAGCAGCTCCTCCTGCCTGCATTTGGATGTGGTGGGCCATGAAAAGCAGGGAAAAATGTCACTGATAGAGTTCTTGAAAAGTATTTTCTAATTGCCCCAAAGTGGAATAAAATGCTAAGGGCAAATTCAGAGCAAAATATATATATATTCTTTTTAGGAGGGTATTTTGCTTTGTTGATTTACTCTAGGAAAAAAACTATCTTGTCTGAATGTGTGATTAAGTAGCTGATGGAATAATTCTTTACAGGGAGGAGAACATGCCAGAACATTTGAGTGGTGTAAAACTGGGCTGCAGAGAGGATTAGAAAAGGTACAAGGAGGAGTGATTTTGTATTGGTAGTAGACTTAATAGCACTTTTTTATCTGTAATTTTTATGATTCTGTGGCTAACCAGGGAAATGTTTAATGTTCCTTGTACAGCAAGTGAAGGTAGAAGAAGGCAAATTGACATCCCCAGCACTGTTATAATTCATTCCATTACTTCAACAGGGCTTTTATATTGTCACGCCCATAAAGCGCCAGTGTGTGCACGCTCGGAGCCAATCCATCTTTATATACTGCTGCTGATCCCATTGAAGGCAGTGGCAAAACTCCCATCAATTTTAATGGCGCTGGGATATGGCCCATTTTGTAGATATACAATGGATATTTCCTGCACACACCATTTTTTGTGTGTAACGTGCTCCTCATCCGAGGTTCAGAGAGTGTTTTATAAAGTGATGAAGTCACGACCATTGATGTAGTCTCCAGCTGATGAGATAATGTGGTCTGCCTTCAAAACAGGATTTAAAGGTTGGCATTTATTTATCTACCTGTTTTTTAATTTATTAGGGGCACAGGATGGAGGCAGAATGTCTCCATGTGTAGAGTACTGCCTTTGAAAAATTTGCCCAGATAAATTGCAGGAGGTAGCTGTGTTAGAAATAGATGCTGCACTTGCAAGGCTAACATTAAGCTACAGCACTTAAAAACTGGAAAGCATCAAAGAAAATTGAAGGCAGTATGGATCAGTGGGTTAGTACATAACAGAGCAGTCTGCAGCACCAGAGGCTAAGAAAGGTCCCTTTTGAAAAGCAGCTGTTTGGATAGTGACTCGCTCAATCAGCAAGGTACAAACAAACAAAAAAAAATTAATTGGATGAGTATATTAACTCATGTTTAATTGGGAAATGTTTTGAATGGAGG